CTTTTAGCTCGGTTCAGCAGGAGCGCCCGATGACTCAAGATACGCATCGGGAGCCATAGTAAGAGAACCCATCTATTCAGGCTAAACTTGCATTTCCTCTCTAGCAGATAGCTAACCGCATTTGGTTTTGTAGTTCCCCTAATACCCCCCAGTCACGCATGGAAACCATCCAAGCTCTACTACTACTTTTCGCTGTCGGTCTATGGGGCGCAAAGGCGATCCTTCGTGAAGCTCTATCACTGCAGAGCCTCTTAGCTCTTCTAGTGCGAGAAGAAGGGTTTTTATCGGAGTCTACTCAAACGGCTGACTGGGAGGCGTGGGTTCGAATAGAAGGAGCTAACCGCACAAAGCTGATCACATACTGTTTCTTTAATCTGTGCAGCATCGCGTACAATATGCCGCCTCTGCTACTCACATCGGAACTCAATCTAATCCTTCCGCATTCTTCGAAACTATGGAGGGCGGAAACGGCTTGGCAATGGCAGGAAGCCCGACAGTCCTTCCCCAGTATGGACATATCTCTACAGGACGCATTTTCAAGGTTATTTAGTCGACCACCGCAAGGACCTCCGGCGTACATGTCCTCCCTTGGTAATTACATCCTCATCCACGCGATATTGCAGCATATATTTTTGCTGAAGCAGACCTCCTTTAACTCCGTGTCAATGTTTGGTGGAGTCCGTCAGGACGACGTCGAAGATTGTTTCCAAGCCCTCCGAATTTGGCAAATGAGTTTTGAACAACATCAGGCGCGTGTAACGGAAGGAAGCCACCAGAATGGCTCAGACGTATTTCCGGGAGGGCCGGTTGCCTATAATTCGACGGCCCTATGGCGACTAGCCTCGATCCGACTGTATACCGATTTAAGTCCTAGCAGGACGCTCGAAACCAGAGATGCCGGTCAGATTGGTCAGGCGTTCTATGATGCTCCGTATCTTGTCCGCAGCGTGCGACTCAACAGAGCTGTTTTTCAAGCCATACACGCATTGTCCATGTTGGTTAAAGTAGGAGTAAACTACGTGGCGAGGAGAAAATCGTCGGAATGGAGTATGCAGCACTCGTGTAAGTGAACACGTTATGCTGAAAACCTAGGGAAAGATTTGCATTCTAACTTGGCGCAGTATGTAACCTCGAATGTGCCATCCTCCTTTCGAAGTGGTTGATGACTCTCGCTTCGGCCGCGACGGGTGCTCCTCCCGAGCCAGACGAACGAAACCTCCTCGAAATGTTGCGCCACATGTTAGACGAAACAGAGTACGCAGTGCCGATTGATCCTTCGCTCTCGGGAGGTGGCCCGGGACACGGACCGTCAAACATGGACATGGCTGCCAACGATGGCACAAAACTACGCCAACTTGCTGCGGCTGTCATCCGGCTTTGGGCTGAAACGTTTAAAGGATCTCATATATTCGACATTGTGAAAGTGATCAGTGCTGGGCTGGAAGGATACGCGGATTTGCTAGAAAAGCCGCGAGACAGGACGCCCCTGGGTCGCTTGGCGCCTAGCTCGGGACTTGGTTGAATCGGCTACAATAAACCTTACCTACAAAGTCACTCAATCATATTCGGAAGACGTCAATGTCGCGTCGGACTCCTCCAGCCGAATATGAACGCGTCAATAGAAAGGTAACTGCTCTAAGTACCTCCCTGGTTGATGATAGAATCAACGGCCCGCCTATACTGACGACAACCCGTGCTGTTCGCTGACAGACAATATCGATAATTATTGGTGGTTTAACCTAGCGACTGCATCAGGCATCGCAAAACCCGAAAGTATCATCGATATAAGCGTCACTCTGAGTCCGTTAGAAAGGAAGGTCCCAGGGAAGGTCGCGATCTAGAGGCAGTGTTTAGGAGGAACGAGATGTTCCAGCTATTATTAACACCGCAGAAGTTAATATATTAGTGGGAATGCATGGAGACGGAAGTGCCGCAGGGGTGTTAACAGTGAAGCAAAGAAATATAGCAGTCGCAACTACTTGCAAATGTGTATCGAGATTTCTATAGTATCAAGGATAGCCAATCGATGCCATAAGCCTGAATCGGTACTATCGAATGTAGCCAAAGACTTCAACTATTTTTGGAACGAGACTTGGAGCATTTGGATTTGCCTCGATTCGGGGAATGGTATGATCACGTGATGACGTGTACCCTGCTTCCACCCCGCGATCCCTCCCGACGCGCCACTAAACTTCTCATTCAACATAGACTCTTTGTATGCTATATATTGACTCAATAAAGGCAATCGATACTTGACGGGCAAAAAGCAATCCACAGTATTCAATCATGCCTGCCAGAAAACGCACCGCCGCGGAGGCTATTCCTTCGGAGATCACCGGCAGCTCTCGTCGCAGATCCCACCGCATTAGCTCCAGCGGCAAGAAGAGCTCGTACTTCGAAGCCAATGACAACGACGACGACAACGACGAATTAGGCGGGGGCCAACCTCCCCGAAAGACGGCAAAGACGCAATCGAGGGCGTCATTATCGGGACAGAAGAGGAATAAAAAGGAGGTCGATGAATTGCAGGATGAAGATGATGAAGAGGCATTCGAGGACGCGGAAGAGGACGGTGGATTTGTTGAGGATAAAGATGAATCCGATGACGGCTCTGAAAGTGAGGTCATACCACCGCCAACACAGAAGCGCGGACGTGGGAGGCCGTCTAAGAGCCAAGCTGGTAGTGCCGCCATCACGAAAAAGTCCGCTGGCAAATCCCGAGCTTCCGACGTTGGTATGGGTAAGCCTCTGGGTAAGCCTAAGTCTAAGGCGAAACCGAAAAAGAAGGCCGAATCTGAAGAGCCGGAGGCTGATGAGTACGCCGAGGGCGAGGACGACGACGATGACGATGACGATGACGAAGATCGCATCACTTTCATCCCGGGTAAGCACACATACTCGCCACCCTATGTCCGAACCTTTATGCCTCAGTATATAGAGCGACAATATACTAACGCAGACTTTTTTAGCAATTAAATTGAGGGATACCGATGGAGTCGACTATGAAGACACTCGGCTCCACAAGAATACATTACTTTTCCTAAAGGACCTCAAGGCAAACAATAAGAGGAGTTGGCTCAAAGGTAAGCCAACGCTCCTTGCCCCCTCCCAGGTTCGACGTAGTACTGATTTCTTAGCGCACGATAAGGAATATAGGAGATCACTCAAGGACTGGGAGTCATTCGTGACTACCCTTACGGAGAAGATCGTCGAAGCCGACGAGACAATCCCGGAGCTACCTATCAAGGACGTGGTCTTCCGGATATACCGCGATATCCGGTTCAGCAAGGACCCCACTCCATATAAAGTGAGTGCCTGTGTCTTCCGCTTCCCGGCACTCTATGACAGTGCTAGAAAAGGTGAATTTATCCTTGACACTGGAAACTTACGGCCATACAGCCCCACTACTCCGCAGCGTGGTCGCGGACTGGCCGGAAGGGCCCGTACGCCTGCTACTACGTCCACGCCGAGCCCGGTCGGTGCATGGTCGGTGGGGGCCTGTGGCACCCGGCCGCTGATGCGCTAGCTCGGCTGCGCGCAAATATTGACGAGCGGCCCCACCGTATCCGCCGCGTCTTGATGAACCCGACGTTCCGGAAGACCTTCCTGCCCAATGCGAAGCCCAACGAGAAGGCCGTGCTGTCGGCGTTTGCGAAGACCAGGATGAACCAGGAGAACGCGCTTAAGACGAAGCCGAAGGTACTTTTCCCCAACCCCCATTTCTTCTTAGGATTGCGTTGGGTTTGAGGAAAGGATGTTAATCAGCGTAGGGCTTCACCCCGGATCATCGGGACATCGAGCTCCTGAAGCTGCGGAATTATACCATCGGCACGTATATCGAGGACGCGGACCTTGTTGCTGAGGATGCGCAGGAGAGGGTTATGGGGATTATCAGCGCCATGGTCGAATTTGTGAGTACTGAGTGATGATTCCCCTTGAATATATCATTGTGTTGACTCTAGGATGTGTGCAGGTGACGTATCTTAATAACGTTGTCATGCCGGATCCCGGTTTCGATAGCGATTCCGATGATGCTGATGACGGGGAAGAGGGACAGGATGAGCAGCAAGGCGAGGATGAAGGCACCGAGGAAGAAAAGGGTGAAAGTAGTGATGATCTCTAGGGGGTCTGGTGCATTGGTACACAAGTAGCAGGTCTAAATTCCCGTTGCTGGGGCCGGCAGAAAACCTTACCGCGCATCGGGAGGAACCTCGAGTGGTGCCCGGGACATATGATACAAAATTAGAAGGGTTATAAGGCGTAATAATAGACAATCGTTTAGCCGACCCTGTTAAAAGGGCGTATCCTGGGTGAAATGAGGCTAGAGAAAACGACCGCCGGAGTGTCATATGCTGGACCGGTACTAGTTTATTTGAAAACGCCCGTGACTTCGACAGTACGACGCTTTTCAGAGGGGTTTTTCGTAGGTACTCGATTCGATTCGAGACTACCGACCTTTTTTTGTCAATCCTTTTTAGGATATTCTCCCCTTACCTCCTATTACCTATGTAAGTTCCTAGAAACATATTACCTACGTTGACAGTTCATTATATTTCACATAAGTTTCTTAAGACAGTCGCACATCTAGTGAAAATTCTTGATGCCTCCATTCAAAATACTTGCGTTATCCTAGCTTCGAGTTGGAAATAGTCTGAAATCGGCCATCTTTCAAATAGTTGCCCCTATATTTTTCAATTTCAAGTAGCAAATATTGTCACATGCAAGCACCTAACCTCGAACAACAAAAGGGCCTGCCAGCTATTGCATTTGAATGGATCCTACTAGATAATGGGATCACATGCGCAGGTTTCCACGTACACCTAGGCTTTAGCAGTGCCTCTCTCCTTTATTTACATAACCAGGCAATTTACGTCATCCCATGTACACGGCAAGAGCTACCACGCACGCAAACATTCAGTCCCTACCTTCCACGTTTACCCCTTCCATTTCACACTTAAGCTGTTTTTACGTTCATCCAAACAAGCAATAGCATCATATCATCTCGATTGGTGTAGTGGTTAGCATGTCGGCTTGTCACGCCGACGACCGGGGTTCGATTCCCCGATCGAGAGTCTCTTTTTGATCCTTTTTTTATTCGTATCTACTTGCGTAGCATGGAGTCTTGTCCATCTACAACTTGCCTTAGGCCCTTCAATCTCCGTACAGGGCTCCGATAGCCTAACCTTTAAGGCATATAGTTCAATATCTCCTCCACATTTTAGCGATCCTTGACTTGGTATCAACTCTTTGTCTCACGACTTAGGGTGGTTCGGTGTTTAGTTCTGTAGTCCTGTTGACAGGCTAGGCGGTACATCCTCCGGCTTCGTGCCCCATTCACTCTCAGTAGACCCCAGCACAAAGTCCAGCGTGCCTCCGTTTACGAAGAAGTCGTGCGTGATCCAGTTCTTCGTGTACGGCTTGCCGTTCAGCCTGGCACTCTGGATGTAGATATTGCGGTAATTTGGGGCGTCGAAGCCGCCGACATTTCGCAGTACCGCCTTCTTGCCACTTGGGGTACGGATACTCACCTCGCGGAACAGGGGTGCCGTCAGTAGGTACACGTCCTGGCCGGCAACGGGGTAGAAGCCCATGAACGCGAAGGCGGTAAAGGCACCCATGGCGCAGTCGTCGTTGCCGGGGATACCGTTGATGCTGCTGTTGAACTGGTCGGGGATGTACTGGTGCACCCAGTAATTGCTGCGTCCGGGGCGCCCGCCGTAGTGGAACTGGAAGGTCGGCAGGAAGTTGGGCTCGTTGCCCATGTAGTTTATCCCCGACGAATGGAAGTAATCGAGCCGCTCCACGAAGGCTTCCCGGCCGCCTAATGCTTCGATCAGCGAGGCCATGTCTTGTGGTACGTAGAATGTGTAGAGCCATGGGCTGCCTTCGTAGGTTTCGTATTGCGTGTCGAAGTAGCAGCTGTGCTGTTGGTAGATGGGGCTGCAGAGGCGGGTATTCTGGTTTATAATTCGAATTAGTAGGTTTCTCTGTAGGTTTCTCTGAGAACGTAAAAGGGGTGGCTTGTTGAAGCGTTGGAACCCCGAGGCGGATGTAAAGGGGCAGTAGGTAATACTAACCTGGTACTTCCAAGTGCCATTGCGGTATCGCGGCTGCATGAACCCCTTGAACTGAGTCTTTTGCACTTTCCCCTCCTCGTCACGATACCGATCCTCTTGCTGGGGGTTGAACAGGTTCTTCCAATTGCGGCTTCGTTGCAGGTACTTCGTCTCGTCGGCTTTACGACCCAGGCCTCTTGCCATAAGCGCGATCACGAAATCATCGTACGCGTACTCCACCGTGCGCGATATCCCTCGGCTCATCGGGCCTGTACCGTTGCGGTCCGTGTCGTCGTACGGCACGTACCCCACGTCGTGCCAAGCTACGAGATTACCACGCCCGGTTGTGGACCAGTCCTTAGGTTCGACTTCGGCGTCTGACACTACCGCTTCGTACCCGAGATTCCAGTCTATGCCCTCGGTGAGATTCTTGATATACGCATCGGCGAGCACCACATCTGCGTTGGATCCGCCCTGCGTGTATCCCTTGCTAAAGCTCATGCGGCAATCCGGTAGCTTGCCTTCATGCTTGTACGTGTCGATAAGCGACCGTACCATCTTGGTTTGGACCGCGGGGTCGATGATAGTCAGCAGAGGGTGCTGGGCGCGGAACGAGTCCCAGATGCAATAGAACGAGTCATAATACGGTTCATCTGACTTCCACAGCGGGTTCTCTCCCGTGTAGTCCTGCGGCGATATGAGCGCGCGGTAGAACCCCGACCAAAACGTCGTCAGGAATTCTTCGCTCATCCCTGAGTAATCGGGCTTAACCACATCTAGCTTCTCTTTCCACGCTTTCTCCCCTGCCTTTACCACGCGTTCAAAGTTAAAATCAGGGATCTCGGTCTCCGCATTATGGCATGCTTGCTCCGGGGATATGAATGAAAGCCCGACGCGCGCCATAATCTGGTCCGTAGGCGGTCGCGCGAAGTGGATCCAGCCGCCAGCAGAGCCAGACGGGATATAAAAGTTGCTTCCTACATTCCCAAGAGCGTGAACCTCATCGGTCGAGTTACTGTCCAAGAACATACCCGATTTTCGGATCTCGGCGCCCTTGAAATCCGCGCAGAAATGCGCCGTGTACGCCCCGTTTCCGAACGATGGGACGAACGATCCGTTCCCCGCTATCCTGCCCGTGGTGGCGTTCACCGTGATATCACCCCCAGTCCGACTGTTGCCCAGATCAATCAGGTCGAGGAGGATCAATGGGCTGCTGGGCACCATTTCGCCGTGGGAATATACCTCAGCTGCCTTCGGGAAGCTGAATTTGTAGAGCGTAGTATGCTCGCTCGCTGTCATCTCGGCAAACACCGAATTATTTAGGCCAATGGCAAAGTAGCCAGGCCGCGCCGTCGCGGAGCCATCGACTCTCACGACGGGTCTTTCTATAGATGTGAATTTACACTTTCTGAAGTCGTCCTCAGGGCATCCCGGATGCACGAAGAGAGGGAAGTTTCCCAGCGAGGGGCTCTGATGCTAGTTAGATCTGCGTAATTGGTAAATACATGTATTCATCGGACTCACTCCTCCGGTTCCTTATAAGAAGTTAGCAACGTATCTGAGTAAGATGATGGGGCTCTTGAATACCCGAATCATGAAGATGAGAGAACCCTCGGATCTTTGATTCGTCCGACACGAATCCCGCTGCTGCTTCGGCTCGATTATCCGTATCCGCTACGGCTTTCGCCATGCCTGGGCGGATTGTCAGCGCCCAGCGGGCTTTCAGGCGTGCGATCACGCAAATAACATACCATACGGCAGGGTCGCACCAGGAAAGACATGGCCTGTGACACTTTCAGTCAAACGTCGCACAAGCAGACTCGGTCGATGCTTGCTGCCTACCTCCATTCACCGTGCCGATGAGGGGATCGATATATCGCAGGATGCTGTCGCTAGATTTTATTGATGAGCCCTTGATAGCGCCAAACAGCGTAGTCGGAGAATTCAACCTGGTAGGGGGGAGTAAAGCCCAGACTAGCAGCGCCAACACGGGGACGACGACGAGAAACCGCCTCCGCCGCGGGATGCTCTTGAGGAACGGCGTCATGACGAGTCTCGAGAGGCCCGCACGACGCTACGCTCGCAGAGCCTAAGTCACGTATCGCTTGTATATGGCAACGGGGGCGCCAGAGCCATTGGTACCGGAGTTGCACTTCAATCCCGCACAAGCTCCAGCATGAGTTAGCGACGACAGGATCAAACCCTTCTTTTTTTGCTTCTGCTAGTCTGTCTCACCTTAGGTTACTCTAGAGTGAAGATTTCATCGGAAGCTCGAGCGAGAAATGCATCGGCTTAGATATTCAGATATTCGTAGCAGCCTCGTTCATTTGCGCCTAGGTGGCCGATCGCCTAGAACCCGAATTGAAGGTTGCGGTCTGCAGGCTTGGCGACTTGGCAATTAGGGGAATTCGGCTGAATTGCATCTGACTGGGGTTTCCGTCCCGGGGGTCGCATCGGCACTGCGCTTTCGTCGATTTATAGGCGACGGAGCACCATTGGTCGTGGTGGTACAGGGGGTTTAGGTACGGCCAGATCGTTCCAAGGGGTGATATTTTTGGTGCTAAATGTGCTAAGCAATTTTAAGGAGGTTGCTCTTCCGGCGGATGGCTTGGATGTGCACAGTGCATTTGACAGTATAAGAATGTAATTATTTCATCTGCCTTGTGGTTCGGGATCACCCGTAGGATCTTACATATAGCAACAGCTTGCATATTTAACATAGTTAAAAACATACGAATAGAATATAAGGTATCTAGGTTTGATTAAAGATGTTTGATTTTGATTATTAGTGAGTGTAGTACGCTATTCTCGCCTTTGAGCTTGGTGCGGAAAGGGAAAGAAATCAGCCAAGAGGAAGTCAAAACATGGTACTACAAATTAACCCCTGAATACCTACTACTGTGCAGTAGCTTTCGCGAAGGAAGCCAGCCACCCCCTTTGACACAAAGAACATTGGAATCTCGCAACCTTACCACGAAAACTGCCCATTCAACTAAGCCTCTCATTCAATGCCATCGAGTCCAATTGTCAGATATTCATGCATGAAAACCGAGGTTTCTATCTTTTTTGTTAGACACACCGCCGCTATCCCCTACTCTAATGTGAGTATGGTATTCATCATTGGCCGAACTGATCTCTGCATAGGTTGATAACTCGGTCACCTGACCGGGTAGAGTTCGATGGGACTTCCAGATAAAAGATCGCAATCCTGTGAGATTGGCCGTCGGGATCTTCACCCAATCTCTTTTAGTAATTGTCGAGGACGAGGGAATTTCTGGTGAACTCTCTAAATTCGACTCGGCATTCCGTCTCCATATCGTAGGGATGAGTTTGGACAAGTATATCCAAACAGTACCGCCCTTTATGCGTTTATAAATCACAGGTAGCACTGGCACGCAGCCGCAAATAATCCCGACATTAACCTCGGCGACACTGAATGCTGATTAGCCACGTAGTTGATTAACGAGAAGGAAGTTTGATATGACCTACGCCAATGGTAGAGTGAGGCCGAATAGTCTGGTGGTATCATTTAGACGGAGGGAGAGAACGCGAATGTATGCGCCAGTGACGGAACAGACGCAAGCTCTTTTTGAAAAGGATAAGTCGCTGTGCCTTAACGGAATGAAGAGTGAATACTGACAAGACTCCAATCAAAAATACAGCACATATCCCAATCTTACGCTTTACTGGAAGCCTAAGATCGGCTATCAACCAAACAGGTAAGAGTAGAAAGTAAATGTCCGTGACGGCGCTAAATATTCCTCCAGCTACAGAAACATCGAGTTGAGTCCTCTTACAGGGAGTTACATCTGCCGCAGCTACGACGCTTTGGGTGATTAGATTGATGGCCTCTTGGATTGCGTCAGGACTCCCTTCTTCAACGATTTGAGTAATATTGGGAACCGGCAAGAGTCCTGATACGTCGGAATCGCCTGAGCTTGGCAGGCTAGTACCCCATGAGTGACAGACAGCTGGGGAATAAATGGCAAGTGTAAGGTAAAAGATTATGATAAGCC